ATATATACATATATATATATATATATATGCCTCTTAATATATATGGGTATAGTAAGGGAAGTTGATTGAATTATTTTAGAAATGCCGACTAAACAAACTCTTCTGATAAGCATATACATAAAAATAAATTAATTTTCATCGACATGGCGCAGCAGCAGCAGCAGCAGCAGCACATGCAGCAGCACATGCAGCAGCAGCAGCAGCAGCAGCACATGCAGCAGCAGGTCCTCATTTGCGTTACACCCCCAAATCATTAGATAAATTCGTTAAAATATTTTATTTAATAATTTAAACAAAAAGCAAATAAAAATAAACAATAAATAAATAAATATATAAACATTTCTCTGCTGTCTTCAACCAAGACAGTCTGGGGCTCCCTGGTGTTGCTGCTGCATTATTTGCTGTCTTCTGCTAGCAGCAGCAGCCATCTAAGATGTTAATAATAAATTAAAGACTAAAATTAAATAATATTTTGAAATAAATTGCAAAAAAAAGAAGAAAAACCCTTTCTTTTCATTATTTTGAGGTGTACATACACCGCAGCTCTACACACAGCCGATGCTGTATCTTCAGTTTTTTTTTGTTTTAAAGATTGAAATTCATTGCTGCACCTAAACAAATATATTTAACCTTTTTAAATATTATTATATAAACTTATGCTGCGTATACAAACTCTATACACCAGCCGCATAGGCCCTCAGCTTCTTTAAGCCCTTAGCAATGCATGTGTTTGCGTTTCCTATTAAGCTTGCTGCTGCTGCTGCTGCTGCTGCTGCAGTAGCAGCAGCAGCAGCAGCAGCAGCAATTGAACTCGATCAAATGCTGCAGGTTCAAGCACCATCTCTGCCGATGGAGGAGATAAGAGAGAAGACAGCGCATTGGGGGGTAAGGCCTCTGTATGTTTAATTTTATAAACTTATTTTGTTAACAACAGCAAACATAATAGTCTTTCTTTTTCTTTATCCTTCTTTTCTCTTACTTCTACTGTCTAATAATCTCCTTTTATTCTTTTATTATTGCATGCGCACGCTCCCTTGCCTTGCGTATCAAGGGTTTAGGGTTTAGGGTTTAGGGTTTAGGGTTTACGTATATATTCCTTGGGATATAAGATGGGTTCTATTAAGGGCTTTTCTTTCGCTTCACTTCAGGTGTATATGCAGCTCTGTTGTTGCTGCTGCTACTGCTGCTGCTGCTGCTGCTACTGCTGCTGCTACTGCTGCTGCTGCTGCTACGGCTGCTACTGCATCTTTGTTTGATCTCCCCAGGACTCCCCATTTGCAACGGAGTTGCATGCGTATGCTATTCTTCACCTCTCAGCAGCAGCAACAGAGCAGCAGCAGCAGCAGCAGCAGCAGCAGGAGGCTCGCCAGCGTATTTGCACTTCCTTAGTTAAAATGCTGCAGCGCTGGCAGCAAAACCACCCACGTCTTTTTCAAGCAGTGCAGCAGCAGCAGCAACAGCAGCAACAGCAACAGGAGCAGCAGCAGCAACAACAGCAGCAACAGCAGCAGCAACAACAGCAGCAGCAGCAACAGCAGCAGCAACAGCAGGAAGCTGAGGACCTGCCACTAGAAGATCTTACAGAGTTGCTGCAGGTGTTAGAAGCAGCAGCAGCAGCAAACTGCTTTTCTGCGGTGTATCCGCAGCTCAGGGGAGTGAGTGCTGTCTTTTTTGTTTATGTTTATCTGCACACCTTAATAATATTTTTAAAGTATATTTTAATTTATTTTATATTTTTATTTGTTGTTTATCAGCAGCAGCACTTCATCTACTTAGCAGCAGCAGATAAAGAAGTTGCTGAGGTGTATATACACATCCGAGTGTATGTACAACTCCCAGCAGCAAATGCTGCTGCTGCTAGATGCTCCACTGCAGCAACAGCAGCAGCAGCAGAAGTAGCTACTGTTGGTGCAGCTGCTGCAGCAGCTGCTGCTGGTGCTGCTGCAGCTGCTGCTGACACAGCTGCTGCTGGTGCTGGTGCTGCTGCTGCTGCAGCTGCGGTTGTTGGAGCTGCTGCTGTTGCTTCTGCTGCTGCAGCTGCTGTTGCTGCTGTTGCTGCTGTTGCTGCTGCTGTTGCTTGCAGGTGTATAAACCTGTGCTGCTTCATTTCCTTCACTCTCCTCTGCAGCAGCAGGAGCCTGCAGCAGCAATCCGTGCTGCGTTGTGGTCTGCTGCTGCTGCTGCTGCTGCTGCTGCTTCGGTTGGTGCTGCTGCTAATGCAACTCTTGCTGCAGCAGCGCAGCAGGAGTTTGGGCTGTACGATCGGTTAGCTGAAGCAAAGGGAAGACAATTAATAAACATCGCTAAGCAAATCAAACCAGGTCACCTGCTGCTGCTGCTGCAGCTGCTGGTGCTGCTGCCACTGCTGTTGCTGCTGTTGCTGCTGCTGCTGCTGCTGCCACTGCTGCTGCTGGTGCTGCTGCTGCTGCTGCTCGAACTGCTCGTGTTTGTAGTACTGCTTCTGCTTCTGGCGTTGCTGATTTTGCTGCTGCTGCTGCTTCTTTTTCTGCTTATGTTGGTGGCTGCTGCTGTTGCTGCTGCTGGTGCTGCTGCTGACTTCTTTCGTTTGCTGTTCCTGACATTCGTCCGCTGCTGCAGCTGTTGCAGCTGTTGCATCTGCTGCGACTGCTGCTGCTGCTGCTGCTGCTATTGCTACTGGTGCTGGTGCTGGTGCTGCTTCTGCTGCTGCTGCTGCTGCTGCTATTGCTAATGGTGCTGGCGCTGGTGCTGCTTCTGCTGCTGCTGCTGGCTGTGTAGCTGCTTTCTGCTGCAATTGCTGCTGCTGCTGCTGCTGCTGCTGCTGCTGCTGTTGCTGTTGCAGGTGCTGCTTCTGAGGCTGCTGCAGTGCTGCTGCGGGGAGCGCAGCCCTTGGTAGCAGCACCAGATGAATTATTAGTTGAGGTGTACAGGCAGCTCAAGGGGGCCTTAGCACATAGACAAACCCCAACAACTTTTCTTGCTATTTCTCTTTTGTTAATTACATTCTACAGGTAAAGCATTAAAAACATATTGATATATTTTTATCTGCGCATGCACTCACTCATCTACCTTCCTGTTTATTTAATCAGGCTCCAAAGATACGAGGGTTTAGGGTTTAGGGTTTAGGGTTTAGGACTGGGGTTGAGGCAGCCATTACAGTGTCTTGAAAGCTGCACGGGTTAACAGTTTAGGGTTTAAGGCTTAGGGTTTAGGGTTTAGAGTTTGGGGTTTAGAGTTTAGGGTTTAGGGTTTAGGG